ATATACTACATGTAGCGCCACATCCACTTGAAAAAGATAAAAAGTGTGAATAATAAACAAAATACTCTGATAAAAGGATAATATAATATTAGAAAATACTCACAAATCACTTCGTACCCAAGAAGTCCTTTAATCGCCAATATATAATCTTCAAATGCTTCATTTCTTAAATCTTTAATTATTTCAACACTTTCATCTGCAGAAATTTGCGGGCTACAATCCTGCATTATTAAGAAAGACTTGGGTTAGTTTTTGTGGTTTCTGAAAAACTGGTTTTCCAGAAGACTGGATCTTCGAAGAGCTATGGGGAAGTCCCATGGTCATATTCGGAATCAGCATGGTCGATCATCTGTAACCCACTAGATGTCGATCAAAAAGCGATTTGTCATCTCGGGAGGTTCCCTTGTGAGTGAGTATCTTTGGATCTGTCTTGAGAGCGGCATATCGTTCTAATTCGCTTGTTCTAATATTCATTTGGTAGTAGTGACCAAAATTTCTTTTGTTTCGATCATAACTCAGCGGAGAAGCGATCTTTCCAAATTTTAGATAACAATGCTTCAAAAGCCTGCTAATTCGTAAATTCTGTACGGTAAACAAAAATCTATGATTGGGTGACAAAGCAATTTTAATCAAAAAAGATCAGAACAGTTTTTGATGTTTTTGCATTGAGCAATTCCAAGTAGAATTAAAATTGCTGCTATTTCACAGTACTTTTACATTCGGAAATGTACTCGTTGTAACAGAGATCTAGAAGATGCATACATATCCACACTGTAACTGGATGATTGGAGCAATAAAATATTTTGATATTATTTCTGTAGAACGCTAATAGCCTCGAATGGAGTAGAAAACTATTTCTGCTTATCAAAATGGAGGCACACCTTGTCTCTATCGATGGTATGAATTTAAACTCGTAAATCCAATATTCAGCTATGTCTGTAGACTACGCTGAAAAGAAGTGTTCCCGAAGGTGTGTAGAATGTCTAGATGGTTATTATAGGACAAAAACGGTGTGAAGTTCCTCACAGGCTTCTTAAACGTCCTACTATGTCGTCCTTTCTAGATTTTCTCCTACTTTTCCTACTTTTTTAAATTTTCTGTACTTTTTAGTAAATTCACAGGAAAAAGACACTTTTCTCCTACCTTTCACAAATAAACCTTTTAGTTTTGCGTTTAAAAACTGAGTTAATGCTAGTTACTCATGACAAAACTTGATATAAATTCTTTTCTCCTAACCGTCTAAAAATCATATATAAATCCACTCGGGGTACCTGTTTAATCCAGCTCTTTTAAAAAGCGCTTTCAGAAAGAATTATGGCAAGTTTAGTGGTTATTTCGTATGCTGTTTCGAATGAGACATAAATAAAAATAAAATAAAATATTCTCCCGGACAGCATGGTTGGTGGTGTGGCGGAGCTTCTCTCAAAAGCTAAAAGCTGCTTTACCTACTTTTTGATATAAATCCCATCATAACAGACTTCACAATCTTACTCCTTCGCCTACTTTTTGTTTGTTATTACGAAGCCTGTCCTCAAGGAGCGAACTATGTTAATTAATATAATAATTTTTAGCAAAAATCGCCAATGAACACAAAAAAGCACGAAATATTCGTTGCATATTTCCACAGTTCGCTCTACTTGGATATTTATAGAATACGCGAACACGTACGAATATCCCCAAGCCGAAACAGAATTTTGTAGGATGATAGAGCTCAACTAGTTGAATCCAGTAATACCCGAACACCTATGAACAGCAATATACTGTCTTTAAACACCTAGGAACACGCATAGAAACAGATATTAACCTTTTAAAAGTATTCCAGTGTAGTAGGGTCCGGCGGGATGAAGTTTTTTCGTCCCGATCCCGGTCCCGTTCCAACTGGACTAAACCCGTCCCGATCCCAATCCCGCCCCAACTGGACGAAGCCCGTCCCGATCCCGAACCCTTTTCTTAACGGGAAAACCCATCCCGATCCCGTTTAAACCCGTTTTCTGCGAATCTGCCAGAGATATTTTTCAAACACATGTCAAATGAGATACCACTCGATAGCATTGCATCTATTATGATTTTTCGACCGAAATGTGACGTTCAAATTTACATTCTAATATTTTTGTCAATTAGGTGCTATATCAAACTAATTTGTCAATTGCAAGTTAGAAATATTTATTGAAGACGGATAGAACATATAACACATCGCAAATGAAACGAGAGAAATGATCGAAGACAAGGTCAATAAGGACAAATGAATATGGTGAAGGAAAGAAAGAGATCATATGACTGAGAAGAATATATCTGCCGCTGTAATCATATCACTATACATCATCCAGATAGAAATCATTTTTCCTCGACACTGGATACCTTTGTTATGTATTCAAAGTCTTTCCTATATTCATCAAAATATTTTAACTGTGTGTGAACACACTTTTTTAAGTGTGAACACAAGATTTTTAAAAAAATGTTATATTTCGATATGAAATGGCTAATTAGGTCCCGAAAATGTTCATCCCGGTCCCGAACAATACCTCAGTGACATTGAAACCGGGATCCCGATCTCGATCCCGACGAGATTGGGACCGGGTTCGGGAAAAAAATAGGGATCGGGATAATCCCGCCGGACCCTACAGTGTAGTCTACACATTTTTTTAAGTATAGTAGAACTATTTAGACTAAAAGTTTTTAGAGAAAACTATTAGTTTTAGATTTCTTGAAAGTTCTTTGATAAACAGTTATGTGGGATTCACCTCTGCCGTTTCGTGGAAGGTAACTCCATGGTACCCACAACAGAAACAACTTCTCTCGGAATAGAACGAAAGAAAATCTCATTATTTACTTTCAATAATGTGAAATGCATGCCTTCAATGAAAGTGGTTGATAGAAAGAAATGCGTCACTCCAGTGCACAATGCAATAACAAAAGTCACCTTTTCAAAGTGGATCAAACAACAACACTCAAATAACTTCTATTTGAGCAGATACAACTATATCGAAGAGAAATATTGTCATTTGAGTAGAATTGCGTAGAAGTGATGAACAGAAAAGGGCGAAAATGAATTGAAAATAATTTAGCAGTTTGGTTTAATGGAAATGATAACTGGTAAAAAAGTGTTGAAAACACAATTTCTTCGAACATCGAGCACAAGTCATAAAAACAGACTCATCGCAGTCTTTTTCTTTACACTGTATATGAGTTTCTGAACTTGCAAAGCAAACTTGATTAACGCTGACAAATGGAGCCTTGGTGTCAAACTTTATATAACTCTGACACTCCGATAAGAGTGTTAAAATTACAGATATTTTTATAGACTGCTGCTCTTATAAATATTTTTCTTCCGTTTTCTGTTCTTTGTACTGAATCTTGAACATCTTTGAAAATTTTTCTATAGCTGCTGTCTGTGCTCAGTTTTTCCTTTTTACCAAATTCTTGTGAAATTGGAATGTCATCATGATGTATATCATGTCTAACACATGCATGCAGCCCTCCTCTTTGAATGCCTCTGATAAGTAAAAACACAGAACAGAAAGAAAAACGGTGGATTTTCTTTTATAAATTGTGTAAGAATATTAGCGGTTTTTCCCTCTTTTTTTAAGTTTTAGATGCAGAAAACTCGCTCAAAATCTCGCTTAGAACCTTGAAAAATTGTTTTCTGTAGGTTTGACGACGTGCTCTTTTATTTGGACAGGTCAAGGAAATTTTTTAGTGAAAATGGTTTTTCGATTGAAAAACCAAGATCTTTATAAAACGGGTCTTTAAATCGAAAGCGGACAAAAACCATTGTGATATTCGGAATCAGCACGTTCGATTACCTATTGTCAACTGAGTTTAAGCTCAAAAGCGAGGAGACAGTTGGTGGCCTTCCCTCGTAAGTAGAATAAAATCAAGTCGTAAATCATGTAAGTCAAGGCCGGTTATTTAGGACTTAAGTTGAAAAATATCGCCTTTGGACAAATTAGAACAACACCCCAATAACGCGACACCTTAAAAAACTTGGTGTGCTAGAAATAGACTAACATGCCTCTCTATTCTGTCCAAGACTTGATTCAAGGTTCTTGATTTTGTCGCAGGGTTTAGCGCATTTGATACAAATCCTCTAGCTTTTTCATAAAAGAAGATTGAGAGAAGATTTTCAATCATCTAGATCTTCCAGCTTCTAGATTTCAAAAAATTTCTTTGTAAATCCGGATTATATATTTACGATTTTGGTTAAATAATAAAACTACAATAAAATCATAATTTGATGTTTTGCTAACCTGTACGCATATCTGACATCTGATACGTTCCTGAAACGTTTAAGTCACGCATACTACGGCTGGTTTATCCATTAAATTTTGTATTTTCTGATCTAATATTGAGGCTGCGATTTGAGAATGAGCCAGTGTCAGCGCTTTCGCATCTTCATAATTGTTATGTTTCACAGCTGTATTCGCTTCATCCTGATCATCGCCGCGTGATTCACAGAATCGTATACCAAAATAAACTAACGCTAATTCTAGCCTTTCACACGGAAATATCTCATCAATTTTGAGATAATTCCCGGCATTTTTCCATTGCAATAGTTCATTTTCGGTGTCGTGGTTTACACAGAATATTTTAATGGAATCCAAATGTTGCCGGCTCAAGTAGTCGGTGATTTCGCGAATACTTTCACTTGAAATGAACATGGTGATCGTTTTTTGGCTTTGTTGTTCGTCCAAATACTGACGACATTCCGCTAGATTATTGCAGAAGCCGACGAAGTTCAAGAGGGGTATGTTCGAAATGATGTCTGCCTGATTCTCACGATTGCGATCAGGCGCATCAACGAGGATGACTACATTTCGATGATGACGGTAATCAGAATTTAGCCAAAAGATACGATGAGGAGTGGACGCCACGACGGGTGATTATCTGAAAGAGAAAGGTAACGGCCCAAAGCACCATGTCAACGAGAAAATATTAAAATCAGGGGGAAAAAAGTGACACTTTTCTTTCTAGGCATCGGAGAGCATCCCTCAGCATCGGATAGTATCGCATCAGCATTACGGAAACTACTATGATTAATTCACATCGAAAACGTACAAAAAATTAGTAAAATTTCGAATTTTTTCTTAACTCGATCTCAACTGGAACGGATTGTCAACTTGATTATGGTGAAAATTTTCGAAAAGCGCCTAGAAACGCATCAGACAGGAACCCATAGAAATGTCCAGTGTTACTCTTTGCTCAGCATGATGGGCTGTCGCAGTCTTTAATGAGAAACTAAGTGTAACCTTGGTTAGGTGATGATGTTTCTGTACAAAAGCGAGTATCATCGATCAGGGTATATGTTTTTTTATTCAGTTAACAAATCAGTTTTTGTCTTTCAGTTGTTTGCTAATAGCCCTTTCACAAAATCACATAGTTTTCGTGCTTGTTGATATTCTTCAATACGTCTGTTTTCCTCTTGTGTGTAATGATAAATAATATCATTTGACAAATGAACGAGCAAATCTTTTTCTGATGCGAATACGCCACCAGTTTTCACTACATTTCGTTTGGTGATAGTATCATTCGAAAGCACATATAAAAATTTGACCTGTTCCAATTGCTGTATGTCCGCAAGAAATTTTGATGATTCAGTAAATACGATCAGAACGAAATGTTCGCTTTCATTTTTGATAATATAATTCAAACATTGGACTTCATTACTAAACTCGATGCATGAAATCACGATTTGACAAAATTCACTTCGTGTCTTATCATTTCCACCCAAGGGTGTGGCACCGGCATGGTGCCAGACGAAGGTTAACGGTGGTGGTAAGCATATTTGTGGAGATTGTGGAGAGGTCGGCGTCTTTGACATCTAATGAAGGTAATTGGAAATGATGTACTCGACTTTTATCTAGTCGACATTGTTTTTATACTGTAGAGCGGTGTTGTGCAATTCACGTAT